CCCAGCCTCCCCACCCCAGGCGCGGCCATAAGGCGCGCGAATTGGCCCCGCTCGGATACCTTTCTTTAACTTCCCATCCGGAAGAGAAATCTGAGTCGGGAGGTCTCGGGAGACGCGCCTAGATTGGCCCTCCTTGAACTGTGGCTCGTCTTCTAGACCTCACCGGGTGAGAAAGTAGACTGGGAAGAAGGAGACGGAGGCGGCTGGTACCAAATGCCACCCTGCAGGAGCCCCGGGGAAGGGTGAATCTTAGGGATGGGAGCGGGACGTGGCGCTCCCTTTCGGCCGGGCCAAGTGGTGCGCGTCCGCAGTTGGGTGGGAACAGAGGTCCCTGCAAAGACAGCAAGTGGGGAGTCCGTGTGTTGGAATCACTTTATGGCTTGGGACTAGTCCGCGGGACTTCCACCCATGGCTTCGCGTCCCCTGGCCAGTAGGGGCAGGTAGCGCACCAGGCCGTGGACCTGCAGAGTTTAGAGATGCAACAGAACCCCAGTTGGAAAGTTAGGCAGGAGAGGGTCTCCCTGGAGCCCAGGGGTTTCAACTGTGCCCCGGGAACAAAGACCTTCCCTGTGCTTGGAAGAGTAGAGGGCCTCTGGGGTAAATATTATATGGAGCTATGGTGGAAGGAGTCTCAGCTGGAAGGAAACAGTGCGGGCCTCGAGCCCCTTTCAGGCCAGAACTCTGCAGCTGGAGTTCTGTGTCATGAAGCCCTCTGTCATCTTTGAAAACATTGCATGACATCACACTGGGTAGACACTACTGAGTTTAATACAAGCTGGAAAAATTCATGTACAGCTCTCTGGTTCTAGAATATTATAAAACTGATTCGCCCCATGGAAAAAAATGTCCCGACTAAATTGATTGGGGGTGAGTGAGGGAGGGAGAAATAGGAGAATCAGGGTACAAAACAATGTCTGTAACGTACTTTGTAATAAAATCATATTTATTTCCCCAATACATGGCGTGTATATCTATAGATATGACTAGAAGAACAAAACTATACTGTGCTCTACGCTATTAGCACTGATTAGGAATGAATGGTGGGGTGGCAGGTAAGTTTTTCTCTTTATGTCTTTATATGGCATCTGAATTTGTGCAGTAAGGTTGGGTTATTTTTAAAATCTTCTAAATCACTTTGGTGGTGCTATTAAGGGAGGCAGTAAGGCCAGATGCTCTGTGGTTTACTCTTGACCACTGCAGACTGGAAATAAGAGGAGTGGATTTAATATGTAGTCTGTGAGTCTAATGCTCTTTTCCTTCTTCCAGGTTGAAAAGAGGCAATTTTAACAGTGTCAAAGCATGGTATGTGATTGTTTTGGTCTCTGACTGTCTAATCCATTATCCTTTCTAGTGTGAAATATTGCCCCTCCCCTAGTCTGATGGGTTTGGGTTATATTTTGTAACTTTCTTGGGCTGTCATAACTCACACTGGGGTGAGTGGGGATTGAGGGGGAAAATTTCTGCATTGAAACCTCTTTTAAAGATTTATTTATTTATGCATACAGAACTGGGGTACAGGCCAGAGGTGCAGGGGCGGTGAGAGGATTCACCAGAGACAGAGTGGGGAGCAGAACAGGCAGACCGAGGAAGTATACTGCTGAGGGGAGCCGCGGGGAGGTCTGCCATCCATGCTGTGTGGGTCACCTCCCGGGCGGGAATCGAACTCATACTGAAGTAGCTTTAGCTTCTTAGTGCTGTGCTTTAACCTGTTGCACCACCAGGGAGGGCCTGAAACTACTTTTTAGCTTTGGGTTTGATGAGTTTACTTTTTGCTATTTGTTGGGGTAATTTTATTAGCATATGTTCCACGCTGGGTGTGTGTGTTTTGTTATAAAAGAATCTTTAATGTGTTCTTTGGGTGTTCTCTCTGTAGTTTCCTGTGACTAATTTATTAAAAATCAAGGTAGGAGCAGGAAAAGTTCATTTAATGTTCATTTTCATTTTTGTTTAATGCTTAACATCTTAATTAATGTTTAATATCTTGCTATTTTTTGACAGTATAGGGTTTCTCTCTCAGATATGAGCAATGTAGCCCTCTCACATTTAATATTTATTTCAATCTTTTTTTTCTTCCTCAGTTTCTGCCAAGTTTCCATTTGAAGACAGACATTCTTCCGTAAGCATTGTCCCATTAAAATGTCCTTGCCTCTAACAGAGGAGCAGAAGAAAAAGATTGAAGAGAATCGACAAAAGGCTCTGGCCCGTCGAGCTGAGAAATTATTAGCAGAGCAGCATCAGAGCACAGCTTCGGGCTCCCCCATTGCTGCCAGAGCTTCTCAGACCAAGCAGGAACCGTCCCAGAATCTCCCCAGGGATCCTTTTAAGCCAGTGAGACATGGTATCATTCCCAAGCAACAGAACCCCAGTAGTTCATCTAATGGGGACCCAAGGCCTCATAATCCCCACCTCAGTGTGGCAGAGCAGGCAAAGAGGATATGGAAGAGGCAAGAAGAGGTGCCCACAGCCGGCCCAAGTCAAGTGACTCTCACTGCCATTTCCCCTCCCTTGGCACAAAGTCCTCCAGAGGTCTCTAGGCGACAGATCTTGGGTGACAAGTTAAGTCAAGGTCATCCTCGGGCTTCACACGAGACCAAGTTGACACACTTTGCTAACACAACTCCAGAGCCTCTGGCCAAAACCAAGATATCCCAGGAGACACCAGCTTCTTCCTGCAGTAAGCCATCCAGGGATTCAGAGACCAAGACAGCAACACCCTCCACCTCAGGCTGGAACATTTCCCACATCCACTGTGACTCGGAGAGTGGGACACCCAGGACAGAAGGAAGATCTCAAAAGGAGGGGAAATGCATAAGGAAGGGAGATCGTTTCCAGGTGTTGATCGGCTACAACGCAGAGCTCATTGCTGTGTTTAAGAGTCTGCCCAGCAGAAGTTATGGTAATGAATCTTTTGTCTTGTTCTTTCAAAAAAATTTTTTTCTATTTCTGGAATCTCTAATCTAACAGTTTGTCATAAATATGAAGAAGGTGCTTTGGCACATTCTGTCCATCCAGTAGTTAGAAAATTTTCCATTTTACTTCATGTTTTCTTTTGTAATAGCTGTTCCTTCAGACAGCTGCCAGGTTTGGGGCCTGCTACAGGGCCATATGGAGAATGGAGGAATGTTTACTGAGGCCAGGAGCTTTCTATAAAGCCCCTGCCAGTTTTCTTAAGCCTAACGCTTTTTTTGTGATAAGTAGATGTTAATTACTTCCATTTTAAAGGTGATGGAACATGCTCAGTAAGGTGAAGGAATGTGCTCAGGTTGGTTCATTTGGAAAGGCAGAACCACACACAGCTAACTCTGTAACACATGGAGTGCACACTCCTTTTCATGCCTCATGACCTGACTACCCTGGATTTCAACCTGTTTAGGTGAGGCCCAGAACATCCTTAAGCCTGACTTGAATTTTACTATGTAGATTTCAACCTGTTTCGATGAGGCCCAGAACACCCCTAAGCCTGACTTGAATTTCACTATGTAGAATGAAAGCACTATCATGATTTATATTTGCTCTTTGTTTTCACAGGGATTTGGAAATTGTAGGGGTTTGTTAGCTCTTTGGGGCTTAGCATTCCTTCATTCTTTTCTCAAACAAGCTTTAGTTGAGTGTCAAGATACATATTATCACTAATCACTAGCCTCATTGTGAGTAGACCAACCGCTTCTCTGTTTCATTTCAGATCCTGCTACCAAGATGTGGAACTTCAGCATGACTGACTACAGCACCCTGAGTAAGTAGGTGTGTTCTTGCCTTCTCGTCATCAGGAGGAACTAGTGTTGAAAAGTCCTATGGAGTGACATTCGTGGCATCTGGCTTGTGGTTGAGATGACTTTTAAGGCACCCCTCAGTGGCTTACACTGCCATATACTTTTTGAAAAGTATATGTTGGGCACAAGCTTCTCTGTACAGGTTTTCAGTAGCTTTTACTGACTATGACCTGTTTAGCTCTTCCGAGTCCCTACCGACACTCTGCACACTGGCCTGCTAGGTGCCGAGACTGCCTGGAGCCCCCCTGCGAGGTTCCTGATGGTGCACTCGTCCTTCTTTAATTTTCATTTTGCTTTGTGGTTGTTGTGTCTTCTCAGATTATGCTTTTCATCACAATAACATATGTAAACTGACTCAGTCTTTCTGACATTTTGCTTTAGGGAAAGCTCTGGATTTTGCTTTTCTATAAACCAGCCATATTTTCATCCTAGAGTGAATGTGCAAAGAGCAAAACTCTCCTTCAGATCTCCCTACTCAGTTAATCCTATTACCATTTTGATCTTGTTCCTATCAACCTTTTTCCTCTGCACTAGAATATACACATTTTACATAAGTCATGTATTTTTCACCTTGCTTCTTTTACTTAGTGTTCAATAGAAGCTTTTTTATTTTAGTGGTGAATGTTAACAATTAACACTGAAGGGGACAATTATTGGGCTACTTTGACCCCCAAAGTATTGGTTTTACCTTGCTAAACTTAATTCTGGTTTTTATATTTTTTTTCTAAAATTTCATACGTAAAAACTGTGAAATATCCCATTGTATGATTGTGTTATAAATTGCTTTAAATTGTTTTCTTTTGGTATCATTTTCATTTGGCCCCAGTTTTTCCACTACTCAAAGTTGAGACATTATGATCTCTTTCTAGAGTGTGTATGGCCACATAATTTTTCAGAAGGTTTTATTCCCAATTAGTAATGCAGGTGGGTTTTTTTTTTTAAGCCTGCAAGTTTGATAAATAAAAACTTGACTTTTTATTTCTCTGTTCATTTGTGAAGTGGTTTCTAGTCAATGTTTTCCAGTCAGTTTGCCCCTCTTGAACTGATTACTTCTCTGCTTATCTTTTGTGGTGTTGCTATTTATTTTTTAAGTATGCGTTCTCGCTGTACTTCATGCGAGCATCTTTGTTCAGTAGTTTTGTCTTTAGATTCAGTTTGTGTCTTCCACAGTTTAGCTTTATGTTGTCAGATCTGCTTACTCATGAAATGCTTCAGTGATACATAAAATCGGGTTCCAGAATATGCATTTGTGGCCTTCTGGGCCTAGTCTTCTTCCTTTGCTGTTCTGACAGTGGGCAGGTGGTGACCTGGAGAGGGGGAGGTACGTGGGCGTGTGTGTTGGCCTTGGTGGCTTCTCTCCCACAGCAGTGGGAATGAGTTGGTGGGTCACTCATTCTGCTGAGACCCCTTTTCCTTTTAGTTTCTCTGAGTTCTGGGTTTTTCAATTTGGAAACTTAAGCAGCAGAAGGATTCAGAGAGACTAAAATTCCCATAGCCCCGATGAAAGACCCTTGTAAGCCTTCCTGGTATACCCACACCTGTCCTCCCTACCCGCCATGGGAGTTCCTCCTGCCCCTGTGGCCTCCTGTGAGCGCCCCAACACCCAGGGGCCTTGAGAAAGTCCTCTGGGTTAGCATCCTTGTCCTTTCTTCTCCTTCCCTCCCTCCCTTTCCTTCCTCACAATGTAGGATTTCTCTCCTCAGGAGCAATCATAGTTTTCCCACCAAAAAAGTGCCCACAGTCCTTCACCTTCCACCACACTCTCCTTCTCCCCTATTCTCCACTTCCCCCCCTCCCCTCCTGGGTGTCTCAGGCCTGCTTTTGAGGGTCAGTCTTACAGTTCCTGTGTATCATAGGATATGGCTGTGGTACAATCCAAATGCCCCAGAACATATGAGTGAGCAAGAAAATAAGGCATAGACACACAATAGAAAACCACCCAGTGATCCAGAAAGACAGAGCCTTGCCATTTGTAGCAGTATGGATGGGGCCCGAAGGGATTGTGCTGAGTGAATTAGCCAGGAGGAGAACAGTAAATACTGGCGGTTGCACTGACATGTGGAACCCAGGGAAACCTCTGTCTCTATCTTCCTTGGCAGTGGAAGCGGCCCAGCGCCTCCGCACAGTCACACTGGAGCCTCTGGAAGAGGCCAGCAGTAGCAGAGCAGCTCAGTCCTGCCTGCCCCCTGCTGACTCCCTCAAGTTTGTCGAAGGGCGATGCCTGCTCATCTCCAGGACCCGCTTCGAGGCAGATATCAGCTATTCAGAAGACCTGATCACACTGTTTAAACAGATGGACTCCAGAAACTATGGTAAGGGGCCTCTGTCTTCCTGTCCAGGATATGTCAGAGCCGTGGTCTCGGGAGGTTTCAGATATGACTCTCTCCTGAGAGAGAGACGCGCTCTCCTGACGCGCTCCTCACTGTGGAAAACCGATGCCTAAACTGTTCAGAGAGGGAACACTTGGTGGCACTTATTTTGTCCTTCAAGGGCTGTCAAAGCGACAAGCCCCTGGTCTTCCCCAGACAGCTGGTCGGTGTCTTCCAGGCGGAAGCAGCTAAATTCCTGCAGGAGCCTTTTAAACCCCACCTGTTTTTATTTTGACCTTAGCCGGGCTGGAAAAGCAGCTGACTACATAAAAATAAATGCCATTTTATAGAGGAAGACTGTGGTTTTCAAGCTCTGCCTGCATCACAACCCCAGCAGGGCTCAGTGAGGGCCAGGTTGCTGGTCCACCTGGGAGTTAGCACTGATGCCCGTTTGCTGCCCAGAGGTACTGATTAGTTTGCTTGAGCTGGGGCCTGCCCTTTGGTGTTTCTGAAAATCGGGTAAGTTTAATAATCAGATACGACGGAAAATCGCTGGCCAGAGCAGAGGAGTTCTGCTTTATTTTTGTGATGTTTTTCAGAATCCACCCAGCCAGGAGAAGGGGCAGAGCCAGCTACAGAATTCCGAACACCTGGGTTTTATCTCAGCTCAGCCATGTCATTTTACAAAATGATGTAGCTTTTATGAATTAGTATTTTCCAGTTCTTACCATTTTAGTCTTTTCCTTAGACAAGTAGGAAGTAAGCCGTTAAGGTCTTGTCTGTGAGACATGTTCCACCCATCGTGGAAAAAGCTCATGTAGAATTACATGTTCTGTGAGTGCTTTGCCAAGTGCTTTGCCTGCAGGAGGAGGTGATGCTGACTCTGACACTTGTCCTTGAGGGGGCAGAGTTTTGCCTGGTGATCAGCAGGGCTTAGGGGAGACGTGTCAGGCTCAGCCTGAACCCTGGGATGAGCTGCTCCCGTGGGACCTAGGTTTTTGGCTTCTCAGCGACCTAAGATGTTTGACTCATGTTTGGGATCCCTTCAAAGGGCAATGTAGGGCTCCTGTGTCTCCTGAACGCACACTCCTGATGCAGTTTGCTCTTTGGGGAATGTCAATAGTTGAAACACTAAAGTTGCACACCCAGTCCGCCCACCCGGACCCCAAAAAACCATGCTTGGATTGTTTTCGCCACAGCTCGATTTGTGGGCTTTTACATTGCTGCTCTGGCTCTGCCAGGCTCCATCTGTGGCCAGGAAGTGTCACCGGCGCTCGGCCCACAGCGAGAGGGTCTGTCTGCTTTCGACCTTTCTATGAGAACCCTGCTTTGCCACCTGGCTTCTTCCTGAAGTGCACACCTGGTCCCCGGTGCTCTTTCCCCAACCACCTCGCTTTCTCCCTGATGAGATAGGGAGAATTTGCTTTTATTGCTCAGAAAGCATTTGGGTTGAACCTTTCTTGATTCCCTCAGAAGGTGGAGTGGTAGGAAAACTCGGTAACTAGCCAGTGCTGGGTAGGGAGCCGCTGCCCCTCTTCATTCACGCTGGCAGGGTGTGCTCCCCTGCCAGCAGGCGGGGGGCAACAGTAGAAAGATTTGTAGTTACTTTTGTGTGTTCTCATTGTTTGCCAACACACTTTTATGAGCACTAGATATTTAAATGTCTTGTAATCTTCACAAGTACCTGAGGCAGGGGCTGTCGTTGCCTCATTTTCAGAGGTGGGACTGAGCCACAGAGCAGTTGCATAACTTGCCCAAAATGGCACAGCCAGAAAGCGGCTGAACTCATATTTGTGTGCCTGTTGTTTGGCCGCTCTGAACTCTGAGGAAATGTGTGGGGCAAATACTTTCTGGATTTCTGTGTCACAGTGCCATGCACGAGACCAGCCTTGTCAGCCCAGATGCTAGAAGTTTCTGAGACCAGGGAGTGAGGGTGATGGCGTAGCAGGAAGGCTGGGGTCTTATCTACTGATTTGTTTCTTCTTACAGATATGAAGACCAGGAAGTGGAACTTTCTCTTGGAAGAACACAATAAACTGAGTAAGATACACATCTTGCTTATTTTATATCATAATCTGCCCTAAATTAGGCATGTTTTAAAAGACTTCCCCTGCTGTGGTAACTTTCCAGGCTGGTGCAGGAAACAAGTAAAGGTGAGGGTGTTTTCTGGCACCATGGCCACACCTGCTGAGATGCAGCTTGACGACAGCTTCTGATTCTGTCAGGGTGAGGCAGGGCCTGTAAGTTCCCGAGGTCTATGAAACTGCTTCATTTTGATAAAAGTGCATGGACTTTGGGAGTCAGAAGTGAGCAGTGTTTGCTTAACTGAAATGGAAGCTGCTAAGAAGAGGCGCCTGATTTGGTTCTGAGACCAGATGGCTGATGAAGGTAGGGGGGTCTGTGGTTGTGGGCTGAGTTTCTGCCAGGTGCTGAAACCTAGGGCAAGTGGCTTCAGTATTTTCAAGACTGATCAAGGGATGGGATGTGTGTACAAGAAGGAGACGCCAGTTCTGGCTCATCATTTCCTCTGTGTCCTGCTGTAGTGGGGCAGTCCGTTCTGAGATGCCTGAGAAAAGGCGGCGTGGTCAGCTCTAAGCCTGCCAGCCGAGAAGGCCAGTTGACCATGCACCTCCCAGCTGTCATGGCCCTTCAGTGGGCAGCACTGGCACACCTTACCTTTGTCCTTCGTGGCCCCTGAGCCCCTAGCCAATGGGAGGATTGCCTGTCACTAGCGTGTAGGCCAGGAGAGACATGGGAAGCTCAAGTCCTGGACCATCTCCCCACCCTGCCCATCTGCAGGCTGGGGCTGTAAGGGGGAGGGGGAAGCTGGGTTTCTGTCCTCTGTCTCCTTACGTGACATCAGGTAGGCAGTTCAATATTCTGGAACCCCTTTGTCCCTTCAGTGAAAATAGTGACCCTATAATCCATATCTGCCCTGCTGGTAGAAGTTAAAGGAGAAGAGCCTTTGAGACCTTCAGAAAGACCTGGTGCAGACCACAAGGTTTTCCCTCCCCTGCTTCTGCTTCTTGAGACTGGCCAGAGCTGGATTTTTAATGAGGGATAGGAGTGAATTTTCCTCTGTCACCTCTTTGTTTTTCAACTACAGAAAGACATGTAAGTGAGCCTTAAAGGGTGTGACTTGGGGGGATGACCAAAAGCAGGGTACAGTATTGGCAGGTAAATGTCATGTTGACAACCATGCCTTGCACCTCTCAGCATTAGTAATGCTTTCAAATCTCTGGGAACCACAGACTCCTTAAGATAGCTGAAGAAAACATGGATTATTTACCCTGGCAAATGTACATAATGGCTACCCATAAAATTTTAGTAATTCCATGGGTCTTGAATTAAGAATAATTCTTAACTCAATTCTAAATTAACTTAATTCTTAGCCTAACTCTAGACTTAGAACCTGGACTGCTATTGTCACACTCTCTCATCGTTCGTGTGTTGCAGAAGATCAGACTGATTCTCCTCATCTCATAGATTGAAATCCCAGCTTGGACCCAGAGAAAGGAAACAATACTTATGAGCAGCATTGCAGGAACACAGTAAAAATCAGTGTCATAGAAAGACTAAAGTTGCTGTGTCACCTTGAGTTTGGAACATGACCAAACTCAAGGAGCAAGGTACAGAACTGCAGGACAGTGCTGTCCCCGACATAGTTCTGGTTCTGTCACTAACAGCCCATCAACCTGGGGTATCTGCACTTCCTTCCCCACCCCTAGTCTTCTTCCTCATGTATGAAATTAGTTTATTGACCCCGAGCTATGAACATGTGCATGAGACTAATTGAGAAATGGCAGTGCATCCTCCATGAGGATGAGGTGACAGTTATCTTCTCCAGATAAGGCAAATCGAAGTTTTCCTCCTTTTTCTTCTCTAATTGACTCAAGGCCTTCTGCCACAGTAAAGTTGGCATGAGGCCTTTTGTTTTCCTTTGACTGTCCCAGTCCAGAAGGGCTCTGCATCCCCCTCAGCGATCTGGCCTTGTTAGCTGCTTTGAAAACATTAGCCTCTCTCTGCCGGTTGGCTCACTAGAGCTATTTTACAGAACTGACTTCGAAATGACTCATGAAGCCAGCCAGCACATTCCTGCCATCCCCCAACACAGGGAGAAGACAACAGTGACAGTCCTTGACAGCGAATGGGGACTTTCTTAGAAACACACCCAGTTGGCTGAACTAGCAGCATAGGATTTTAGAGTCAGTGGTTGGTAGGCAACAGAGCAGGCTTGGTTTTTCTCTCTTGAACAGCTGAAAGAATATAATGCTTATAGAGCACACTTCACACCAGCTGGATCATCGGTCCTTTCTTAGCGTTTCGTCAGCTGTTGGAGTTTTGAGGATTGCCAGGATTGAAACAAAAATGGTTTCTGAAATCACACGGTGTGCTCCGTCTCCTGAAGTGTGTAGAAATCAGCATGCTCAGATTTAATGTGGAGGCATAAAATGTATGTTTAGCCAAATGGACAGTCTCTTTTATATTAAAGCCATCGGCCTCACCTAATTCCCAATCGTGGTGACATTTCATGCAAACTGTTTCCAGGAATATCTGGCACATAGAGGAGGACAGGAGCCACTCAGCTCTCCATAGTTCCGTCAAGATGTGCACCAGTGCTGATTGTGGTTTGGAGCACCGCGTGAGGGCAGAAAACATGGGCCATGTGGAGTGGAGAGCAAACAACCTCGGACCAGTAATTTCCAGTAGAAATGAAACATACCAAGTTTCCTTGCTTGGTTCCCTTTACTGGATTCCCGAGGACAGCCAGCCCCCGGGTGGATGACTAAGGGGTCACCCAAGGTGTCCCGACAAGGGGAGGGGTACAGAGCACTTGAAGCTCTATAAACGGTGGTGGCTTTCAGAGGATCCTGCTAAAAAGGCAGGCGGTCTTGGCAGTGCACCCCAGGACAGTGGCTGCGTAATAGTTGTGCAGAGGGGGCTCTAGGTCTGTCGTCTTCAGTTTTTTTTTTTATTTTTAACTTATCTTCGCCCCTGAATTTTACATTTTATTTGAATCTCTGGCTTATTATTCTTTCTATTTCTCTGTAGAACACCCTTTTTCTCACAATTTTAAAATGATAGGATACTGAAGTCTTTTCAAAATGACTCAGAATGCAAAATCAATGAAAGTTATTTGCTTTCATTTCTGTGTTGATTCCAAGTAGTTAGATTTTCCCATTTGAACAAATGCCTGACTGTAACTTCTGACTAACTCCATAAGGGAAGTTCCCCTTCCAGTATGTGGGAGCCTAGAAGCCGCACACTGGGAAGGAAAGCAGTGACCCCTAAGTAGAAGCTGTAATTGAACGGTCATTCTTAGTCCTGGTTGAGACTCTAAGCAGGAGTCGGTAAACATTTCCTTGTAAAAGGCCAGACAGTAAGTCTTTTAGGCAGTGGCCATGCGGAGGCCCAGCCACTCCACCCCACTGTGGTAGAATGACAGCAGCCACAGGCAATCCCTAAGCAGGCCGACGTGGCCGTCTTACAGTACAGCTTTATTTGTAAAAACAGGCTGACTCGGCCCTGGGCCTTAGCTTGCCAGCTTCTGCTCTGGGTTCAGTGGGGGCTATCAGGTTACCTCCACCTGGATTTTCTAGATGCTTTGCCACTGGGTCACCACTGGAAATTTCATGTCTAGAGGTGAGCTCAGGATTCCCTTCTGGAAAGGGCCCAAGGTGAGCCAGCCCATGTGCACTGGATCACTGGGAGCCTTTGCGTGGACTCTGCCCTTGGCTGGAACTGGGGTCTATAAGTAGCACAGTCATCCTTCTACCCATGCTGGAAGCTCTGGACAGCTTGTCCATACCGGGCCTCCTTGCTGGTTGACAGCAAGTAACTTAGACTTCTCGACTTCACCAGCATTAAAACCAAAAGAAACATAAAGGAGATGGAAAAAGATATTTATTTTAAGTCTTGCTTTTTTTCTTTGCTGATTTTCAAAAATATGGCTCCTTAAATGGGAATGGGAATATGAAGATACTTTTTAATTCAGTTTAAAAATATGTCAGTTGCAAAAACACTAAAATCGGTGCCACATTGCTGATTGCCCACTTATTTGTCCAAATTAAGGAATAAAGAGGCAAAGCTAATTCTCTGGGTTGACGTACTTTGCCTAGATGCCTCTAGCAGCCACCAGCTTTCTCTCCAGTTACTTTTTTAAGAAGATGGCAGCGCTTTCCAGCCACAGAACTTTTGTTTTTCCAAGGCTTGCTTTGCCCAGACCTCTCGGGCACTGACAGTCCAGTTCACACGCCTTGTTCTTTCCAGTTGAACGCGCACGCTGCCTCCCACAAGTTAAACTGGCCCCTCTGCCCAAGACACTGGTCCAGGCCTTTGCTTCTCAGCTGGAGAAGACGACACTCACAACAGACATCCCCGAGGCTGACCTGTCTGAAGTGGACCCCAAGCTGGTGTCTAGCCTACTGCCCTTCCAGAGAGCTGGCGTCAAGTAAGTTCTGGCTCTTCCCTCTCTTACTGAGGTTTCGCCACCTAACCACTACTGGCTGGGTTCAGATGGTCCCGCCTTTACTGGCAAAAATGATCAACCAGTTTAGTAAAGCAGCAGAACACAACATCAACACACACAAATCAGTAGATTTCCTATATGCAAAGAGTATATCCAAAGAAGAAAACTGTCCCCTTTATAATAGAAACAAAAAATCAAATACCTGGGAATAAACCTAACAAGAGAGGTAAAGGACCTATGCAAAGAAAATTATAAAACGTTGTTAACAGATAGCTGCTCCCTCCTTTCAGAGTGTTCATCTTTCACAGTCATCTAGAATGATCTAGACATTAGGCAGCCAGCTGTGCTGTTACCTAACAAAGCCCAGTTGTAACCAGTGATGGAAAATTCCCTAAGTTAATCAGGACTTTGTTGCAGGTGAGCAGAAACCCAGGGCAGACTAGGTGAAGAGTTTTCTTGGTACATGGAATAGAAAACCCAGGGTCTCGGACCATCTCAGCAGGATTTGGTCCCTCCGACAGCTCTCCTAGGTCACTTTGTTCCCAGCCAGTGGTCCTCAGTGGCAGCGAGGTGCCGCGGCCACCAGCTCTCACCCACCGACTCAGCAGCCAGTGGACGCGCCTCTTGCCTAGTGAGTCTGGGACACCCGAATCTGGGACCAGCACAGGCCAGGCACTGTGAGGTCTTGTTGGCCAGTCCCCTGGAAGAGGGTCAGCCAGCAGACAGCACCTACCCCGCCTAAGTTACTTGAGCTGCCTGTGCGGTGCTGGCTTTCGGGTGGCAGTCAGGTGCTCTTAACTGTGGGAAGTCAGGAGATAGTCCAGTTCCCCCTTTTCCAGCTTGGTAGAAGTGAAAGGACACGTTTGAACTTACCTTTTAGTAAAAATCTGGGAGTTTGAGGAGAAGGAAGAGGACAGTCCATCCAGAAACAACAGCTAGATGTGTTTTCAGGCGGTGGTGTGGAAGAGGGGCCTGTGCAAAGAAGGAGCCAAGTCACGACGGGACTGACGGCCGCCTGCCCGTCCGTGCTCGCCTCCCTCCTCGCCCGCTGGGCGCTGCGAGGGACCCTTGTTGGAACTGACCACAGCTTCCTCCACCTAAGGACCACCTAGGTCTTTCCCTACCTTTCCGTCTCACATTTCCCCTATTTTGACTCTATTGTTCTCATTATCCTGTCCCCTCTGGGTAGCAGGTCTCTGGCTGGCGGAGCACTGCTGGCCAGCCCAGACCACGCAGAGCGGGCAGCTGTGCGGTGACGGCAGATGGCCGCTGGCCCTGTGTGTGCTCCTCCGCTTACCCTGTCTGCTGTCAGTTTTGCCATAGCAAAAAGAGGCCGGCTGCTGCTTGCTGACGACATGGGCCTGGGGAAGACCATCCAGGCCATCTGCATAGCGGCGTTTTACCGGAAGGAGTGGCCGCTGCTGGTGGTGGTGCCGTCCTCCGTGCGCTTCACCTGGGAGCAGGTAGGTTCTCTGCCTTGTAACTTTATTAAGGGGTCTCAAGTTAGAGCAATCAGGACACTGTCGGGGACAGGGCCTGGGAAGCTTTAAAGAGCCTGTCTGGAGGCAGGACGAGAGATGAGGCGGCCTGCCTCATCTAAGGGCTTTCTGAGTGAGAATCGGGTTTCACTTGGTGGGGGAAGACAGCCTCAAGGAGTCAGCAAGCTCAGACTTGGCTCAGAGGGCAGGCAGACACACCTCCTGTGAATATCACCTGTTGTACGTGTGTTTAGGTTTCAAAATATTTTTACTCCTTTATTGCCATTAATTCCAGAAGAGCCCTATGCGGTAGACACGATATGTTAATGCATCTACAAAAGAGAAAACAGTCTAGCACGACGAAGCGCCAGGGCCGTGGTGCAGGCCTGACCAGAGGCTCCTGACGCTGCAGCTCGGGGCGCTCACCTGCAGCAGGCAGCGTGGGCAGGACGGCCACTGTCCGCCAGGCTCCTGTGCTAAGCAGCCTGACGTGAGCACTGTGTGGTCATCAGCGTGGCCTTTGTCACCCGTACTCTGGGTGTCAGCGTGATTCTCTGAGTGAAGGAAACGCTCAGTGAAGAAAGAAGCCCAAGTTCTTCATCGGCCACTTTCCCGGCTTCATGCCGCTCCCGGCCAGTGCTGCCTTCCTCACGCCTCGCCGCCTTCCCGAGGGCAGAGAGGAGGCAGCTCTGCCTGGAGACAGCCTGCCTGGTGCCCACGAGTGCCTTTGCAGTATGTCCAGACAATGCCTGCATTCCTGTCATGTGGTCTCTAGGCCACTGATGCCTCGAGAAACTGTCATTCAGGCACATTTTTGTTTTGTATGTGAAATTCCCTCACACATTCTGTGCAAGGGTCAGATGACCCTATGGTTATAAGCAGTTTTGCCACTGGACACTGCCGGTGTCTGAAAGCTGGCCCTGGCGCCTGGGAGCACCCAGCACTGGTCTCTGGCAGGGGGCACCTGTTAGCCTCCCGTTGGCTCCGGGTCCTGGCTTCGGCCAGGAATGGCAAGATTCCCAAGGAATCTTGGGAAGCAGGTGGTTTTGTGGAAAATACAGACATAAATATTGTCATTGTCATCTTGGTGTACCGGGCTCTGCTAAAAATGCCCCTTAATAGGAGTCCGTCTGTCCCTGCGGAAGCTGGCCATCTGGTTGGAGACCACAGACATCACATGTGGCAGCAAGCGAGTACCGTCTCACAGCTGCACAGTGGCCGTGCATGGGCTGGGGCAGCTCGGCTGCAGCGCCGGGCCCGGCTCGGTGGCGGCAGCACTGGTGCTTCTCCGCGTTGAGGCGCGTGATGTGGCGGGGCGCAGCCGGCAGCTGCTCGGTCACGTCGTCGTTCTGCTGTGTTCTCTGCTGTCACCCCCAGGCCTTCCTCCGGTGGCTGCCGTCCTTGGGCCCAGACTGCATCAACGTGGTGGTGACGGGGAAGGACCGCCTGAGAGCTGGCTTGGTTAACATCGTCAGTTTTGACCTTTTGAGCAAGTTGGAGAAACAGCTACAAACTCCCTTTAAAGTTGTCATTATTGTAAGTGACTTGGCAAAGTCTTTGAGTGTGGCAGCTTCCTCCTTCAAAACTCTAAGACCTTTCATGCCTGGCACATCTCGTGGTGTCTCTCTGGGCTTCTAGGGGAACAGAAGTCCCTGTCTTTATTTTTGTGGGGAACCGACATGTTGTTCCTCTCATATAGCGGTTGTCATCCCAGGCTACTAAATATTAAACTTGCCTGTGGAACTTTTGGAAAATGTGATTAACGGGCTTGGGGGTTTCTAGCCCGTCGCCCCCTGGGGAGGTGCTGGCTGGCACCTGCTCTTGGGAACTCCACCCAGGCGGCGGGGTACCAGCCTCCTGTGCTTGCTCTGGCCTGAATTGCTGGGGCGTACAGGTAAGGCTGCTTGTACGCTTCCTGCCTGCCTGTGGAAGGAGGAGACACGCCAGCCCTGCACAAAAAGCGCTTCTTACCCTCGGTGCTCTGGAGCAGGGCTTCGCTGGAGTCCAGTTTCCCACGTGACGGCACATCTTTCAGCCGTCGCCTTTCCTCTGTCTCCTCACAGACTTAGACGTAGAGAGTCCACCGTGTGCCGGTGCTCAGTACAGCCACGTGATTCTCAAAGAAAACTCAGAATCAGAGGGCTCCTGCCCAATCTGTCCAGTTCCCACCCCAGCCCGGTCACCACCAACCTGAGGTGCAAAGCATGAGACGGACGATTTCCAGTGGAAGTTTATCTGCCTTTGTTTCCTTTTGGTTAAAAGAGAAATCCAGTTTCTCCAAATGATCTGAAAGGACTTGTGCTTTATTCAGATGTGTGAATTTCAAAAGCCAGTGGTAGCTTCATCTTCTTAAAAATAGAGTTCTCTGTTGACAGTGGCTTCCACATCTTGGTGCTCAAAACTGGAGTCATCTTATTTTGTTCTTTTTTTAGTATTTATTTAGGCATGCAGAGAGAACTGGGTATGGGCCAGAGGTGCAGAGGCTAGGAGAGGATTCACCAGAGACAGAGTGGGGAGCAGAACAGGCCGACTGACAAAGCACACTGCTGAGGGGAGAAATGGCGAGACAGGAGAGGTCTGCTGTGCCATGTGGGTCAGCTCCCTGGCCGGGGATCAAACTTGCGTTGAAGTGGCTGCTGCCAGCCTCGTAGTGGTATGGTCTTACGGGCTGTGCCGCCAGCGAGGGCCTGGAGTCATCTTATTTTGAAGGAGAGGAAGGAAAGATTTTCCCCTGTGCTGGGCTGTGTGGTGGTGCGGGAGGCCTATTCTTCTGGATGTGCGTGTACAGGTTCATTCCCAGCTCGGCAGCCCCACAGTGCTGTGCATGGAGGAGGGAGGAGAGTGCCAGCCTCAAACTGTTGTCCAGTAGGCTGACACATCCCCACAGATCAGAGGACACTGCAGGACCTTCCTAGCTGGTGAACCACAGATTGCGGGAGCTCTCAGAAAGGGGTTAGGGTCCTGACCTCAAGGCTCTATTGTTTTGTATGTGAGAACCATACTGTGTGCTTAGTATGAACCAACTTAAATGTTTATACTTTTCCAAAGCCCTCTAGGTATTGAGTTTTGAGGGGGTGTCACTTCTGGTTTGGCACAAGTGTAGTATGAACAACCTCAGCATACATGTGAGATGTAAATATTAAAAAAGCTCCTCAGGCAGTGATGCAGCGATGTGTGGGGAGAACTCTGTCATCCAGTCTCAGGTTCTTGACATATAAACACTGTTCATCCCAGGGGCCCTAAGGCCACTGTGAGCCCCCCGAGCAGCCGGCAGCCAGAGAGGTTTGTCTGCCGTGCGCAGGCAGGAAGCTGGCGAGGGGGAGCAGCACCGATTGAAAGGGGGTCACATCTGGCGCCAGAACTCATGCGTCTCTGTTTGTGGCTCCACACTTACTTAACCTTCCATACGGTCTTTGGCAAGCCGCTTAGCACTGGTGTGGGTCCTTCGGCTAAGAGCCCTGTCCTCCTCTGACTTCACAGAAATGTGTGGAGGACGAAAGGGATGGCTCTCGAGCGTCACACTCAGAAGAGACTTCACTTAGACTCCGTCCCACGTGGCCAGCTGCACGAGCGGTGCGTTTCTGCACTTCGGCTCGTTGTCCGTTTTGCTCCATTCCCGCCCACATACCGTGTACTGGCTGCTGTTGCTCTCCGTGAACCCCCTTTTCATTTTGTGGGCATGTGGGCACATTGCCAGACAGCAGTGTGAGTGTTAACATCCAGGCTTTAGGGAATAGCTGGTGTCTCAGCATTTGGGGGTTCATCTCACACTTCCCTCCCTCCTGTTTTTTAGGTCCATCAAAGCTGAAATGGAGCAGGGGGTCTCTCACAGATCACGTTCAAGGCCAGAGCCAGGTCTCCTGGTCTCCCTGTCATAGGAGGGCTGACACCGCTGAGTGCCTAAATGGCAGGACTGTTCGAAGGGCGTTACCGGAAGGATGTGTTAGTTGCTTGTTTGGCTTTGTGAAATACCATGAGTTTTTGTTCACTGATGCACAGAGTGCAGAATGTGGTGCTTTCCAACCCCATGTTCTCACCATGACGGGTGGTGCCTTAAGGACAGGAGTCACATCTCCGGAGCTTCTAAGATCCGTGGTACTTTGTCGCTCCCACCGCAGTGAGAGCACTTAGAACACTGGCTGAGTAGCCGCCCTTCCTGCACTGAGCCCCGGGGGTAGGGGCTGGGCCCAGCGAATTCCCCAGGCCGGGCATAGGTTGTCTTCAGCACACGCTGCTTTAGCCTGCACACGTGAGGTGTGTCTTGTAAAGCAGCAACGCAGTTTGCCGAGTGCGGCCTGTGAGTGGGCAGGGCTGAAGTCAGTCAGCACAGAGAGATGAAGCACCGTGCCAGAATGTGGCAGAGAAGATACCTCAGAACTTGGGTCCTTTGGCAAGTCCATGCCATCTCCTTGAAGAAGAGAGACCTAAGGGAGTCTCCCTGGTGGCAAATGGGTTAAAGCGCAGCACTGTGAAGCTGTCCACAGCCACTGCAGCACGAGTTTGATCCCCAACCAGAGAGGTGACCCAGATGGCGCAGCAGACCTCTCCTGACCCGCCTGCTGCTCCCTTCAGCAGTGTGTTTCAGTAGATCCACCTGTTCTGCTCCCCACTCTGTCTCTAGTGAATCCTCTCACCCCCTGCATGTCTGGCCTCTGCCCCAGTTCTTGTATGCATGAATAAATGAAAATGAATCTTTAAAAAAACTGAAAGAGCCAAGGGTGCCACCCTGGGGCACCCTGTGCCAGTCAGGCTTCATGTGAGCTCTGCCTGCACTCAGGACTTGGTCTTGTTCACCTGCGTGACTGCTTCCTTCCAGGATGAATCTCACTTCCTCAAAAACAGTAAGACTGCCCGCTGTCGAGCTGCTCTGCCCCTGCTCAAGGTGAGTCCTGCTGAGTCCAGTCAGCATCACCTTCCTGAGGTGTTTGCTCAACCGACGTGGACCCTCATGTGTCAGTGCCGGCTGGGGGGTGTGGACGTGACCCCACCGACCTCAGGCCTCTCTCCTGAGCACTTTGGTGCCAGTTTACGTTTCTTCCCAGCTCCCTCTAAGGAATGAAATAGCTGTCTGTGCTCTCAAAGATGAAGCCCCATTGAAGGTCACAGGTCTGGCGGAGCTGCACTCTGGACCCTCTGCTGCTCCTCCGGACGAGGCACAGGGGCGCCTCCTGCAGCGTGTCCTCCAGACAGCTCACACTGCCCGTCTGAGGCAGTTCAGGGGCAGGGCTCTCCTGGCGCTGGGAGCCAACGGAGTCGAGTTACGTAGCTTAGAACCAGGCAGTGGGTGTCAGCAAGAAGCACTGGTAAAGCTGACATGTGCTGATGTTCTGGCTTCTGGCCCAGCAGCCCTCTCCTGCCTCTCCGCTGCTCCCCTCAGCAGTGTGTTTCAGTAGATCTGCCTGCTCTGCTCCCCTAAGCCTGTTTCATCAATGGGAGGGTCCAGCCTTCCCCACAGTCCTCTCTGTGGTGGTCTCACCTTCTGCCTGAGCGCTTGGACTCGGGTGGGCAGCAGAGCGGGCGTGTGTGCAGCGATCTCAAGGCTTTTTCCGGAAGAGCCCTGATGCAGCCTCGAGTCCAGCCCTCCCGCTCAGTGTCTGCTGTGTGTCCTGGCCCCGTCCATCCCTGACTGTCCATCACCTTTTTATAGTGGCCTATTTGCCAGTGTTGGGAAAGTTAGAAAAGTAGCTTTTTCCCTCATGACAAGGGAGAAATCTCTTCCAGATGACTTTGGACTTTGGGTTGTGTGTACTAGTGGACCTTTAAAGATCTGTGTTTATCTTGTGCTCCATCAAAGCAGTCTTCACAATTGCAGCTTGCATCACTTAAAAGAAGCATTAGGTTATATTAAATTAGAGAAAACAAATATGCTCAATGTTAGTGTAATTCACTGGCATTTGAAAATTAATTTTATCAATTTCCTGCAAACACCACACAACTGTCTATTCATTTCAAGTTTGGGTGGTTTTTGTTTTGTTTTAGGAATAACAAGTAATATGTCTTCTAAAGCAGGATAATGTCATACGCTTCAAATTTAAAAATAAATACCCTTTACTTAGAAAGCTTGATCCTCTGCTCATATTACCTATAAATATTTATAGGTCGAGAGCCATTTATAGGCACACTTAAATGAAAAGCTTTTCCCAGGGTGATGAGCCTTCTTTTAGGAGGCTTTGGTATATTTTCTTTTGAAAACTGTTAGTAGTTCTTGATACTGTGGTTCCAGTATTACAGCTATAACTAAAATTAGATCTGTACCCCTGATGTTTAGAATAAAAAAAAAAAAAACCCTGCATGATAGATAAATTATAGCTTTAAAGGTGTAATATAACGCTTCCTAGCAACTATCTCGCCAATGCACTCCCAGCCTGGGCAGGCAACTCTGGACTACCTGAGAGGTGTTTCTAAGCCAGGCTTTTAACAACAGCATTTCCATCCTTAATGTCTTGGGTCTGTTTCAGAGTAACACGTTTAGAACAAATCTTTTATCTGTTGTCAGTATATTCTGCTTTGCGTTTGGTCTAGAACTTGGATGAACTAACATCGTAAAGTAGGACCCACCTTCACGTTTGTGACGGTGTCTGTGAGCCGCTCTCTTCCGTCAAGTTGACTTCACACGGTGCCCGCGTGTGGGCAGCTCTGAGTGAGGGCGAGGGCTTCTGTCTTCCTCTGTTCACTGAACCTTTTACCTCTGCTGTACCTCACCTCAGTCAGTTCCCCACCTTGGCCTGACTGATGTTTTGCGCTGGGGATGCTGTCGGCGGGGCTGTCCCACGCGCCGTGGGCTGTTGGCGGCCTCCCGGCCTCTCTGCACCGCATGCCGTGGCGCCCCGCTGAGACAACTGAAGGAGTCTCAGAGATTGCCATATTTTCCCTGAGGAGCAAATCACCCCCTCCCATCGCTTGAGAGCCACAGGTCTAGGTACTGTAAGGAAATGAATCTAAATACTTTTGGAATGCAGCGGAGGTGAGACAAGGTGAAATGCGCCTGTGGAAAGGCATGGAAGGTCTCCTTAAATCTGTTGAGTTCTCCACTAGCTTTTGCATCTCTTAGAACTGTAGTGTGAATTCTAATGTTGTAAGATATTTTCAGCAGATGTGCATGATGAGGCTTGCTTATGTCATCTAGACTGTAGAATACCCGGGCCAGATCGTGTCCAGAAAATGTGGTATGAGCCCCTGGTCGCGAGTCCGCAACAATGTTTGCCACTGACCTTAACTGTAAAGGCTCTGATGACTTCTGAGCTATCAGTCCTCCCACATCCTTGCTGCTGATATCTGGGCTGAGGTGTGTGGTGGATTTCACTTTCTGTGTGGTGGCACCTGTCCGCCTGTGTTCTGTTCTAAATATCACGGGATATTTATGCTACCTGTAGCATAAACTTCATAGAATGTTGGGAGTAACCCTTGGTACACAGTGGCACTGAACTTCGGGGAGCATGACTTCTTCCCCAGCTTGGCGTTGTGGTGAGATGCATTACAGCCCAGCAAAGTAATTCTGGAAAGTAAGTTTTTGGTGCCACTGAAAAAACAGTAGGGGTGACAGTAGAAAGTGATGAGGAGCTCGCAGACTGTTCTTGTGTGAACTTACAACAGCCCCAGCTCTTCACAGACAGCTTTTGACTCCTTGAAATTCTACGTGTAGGTAATCGATGTTGACCGACTGCGCCCGACTGACGACCATAAGCCTGGATGCCAGCTTGGCCTGCTCTCTCCTAGTCTGCGTGGCTCTGCCTAGGACCCACGGGGAAACGAAACCTGTCTTTGAGGGCCCAGTGGTGTCTGCTTATGTCAGTCAGATTATTTCTCTCCAACACCACATAGAGCACCTCCTCTTCTATTGTTCCATGGTGGAATTTTCAGGTGCCACATTCTTAGGAATTAGCTGTGGAGTGACATCTGCGATTTCATGTTGATTTATATCATTTTATGCATTTCTACTTTTGTAGATTGAAAGTTCTTGGAGGTGGAGGGGGATATAAATCATGTGCATCTGGGCACCATTAAAGGCCTTGTGGATGACAGTAATGGCAAGAGAGTGTGTTTGGGCTGAGCAGGCTGAACAATCCAGAACAGATGAGATGCCATTGTCACTTCTTTTCAAAGCTGGCGTTCTTTTCCATAATGCTGCCTCTGCCTTTCAACACCCACAATCCTCCATTTTCAATGTTTCTATCACCCACCAATCTGAGCAATGTCTGGGAGAACTGAATCAGCCCTGCCTGCTCTTGTTAATATCTGACAGGGAGCCATTGGGTTAACTTCATCGCCTGGGCTATGAGCTTTTGGCCCTGGTAGCAGTGGAGATGCTGGGAATAGGTTTTTCTTATTGAGAAGAGTTTTGTTTTTCTGTTTTCATTGAAATGATCTCCATCCAAGGCAAGTGATGCTGCAGATGTCATTCAAGAAACTCATTGTTATTATAATGAGCCTGCATTAAACTGTGCAGGAAATTAGAAGACTGGGGTAATTGAACTGTGGAAATTATGGTGGAGAAATTCATAGCTCTCCTGTTGTAATGGAACTAGGCATGGTGGTTGCTGAGAGGGCAGAGGTGCATCTTGAGAATTGTGCGTATTGTCTCTTTATACAGAATCATTTTTCTCCCCTCTGGTGCACCTTTATTTATTTATTTTTATGAAGCAGTGCATCCATTTGAGAACCTAATTTCCTCCTGTAGGTAATTTACTCTCAGCAACTGCCTTAGACAACTGTCATTAGCTCAAGGTTACAGTGGTTAACAAGCTGATTCTGGACGCAGTAGGGTCCCTCCCCAGAGCTGAAATGAAATTTGCCTCCAGGAATTGCGGCCATCCCATGTTCTAACACAGCAGGAGGTGTCTCCTTTTTATCCTTACCCTCTTCCCATCTTACAGTTAGATGTTGGCTATTTGGGTCTGGTCTTGGGTCAGGTGCATGTTGGCTTAGTCAGGAGCTTGGAGTTTCTCTCATTGTCACTGGGCCAGTGACACTGAGCAGCCTGCTGCAGACCCACGTTGAATTGAGAGTGAGTGGATCTGGGGCCCATTTTTTAAAGCCTCATGAACTGCAAAATGAGCTGCGGTCTTTGAGCAGCTAGGTGGGTGACAGATTTTTCTCTCCTTGAAAGAAAAACAAAGGTTTATTATCCCCAGCAGTCCCTGGCACTTCCTTCTGCAAGCAGGTGAGGTCTGGTCTTGGTGCTATTATGTGTGAGTAACATGGGTTCAACTTGGATGTCGGAAATCCATTCTGGAAGGAGTCAGGCTTCCCCCAGGTCCCCGGATTCCACTTCCTCTTCTGCTGCTGGATTTTTAGCATTTGCTCTGCGTTCCCCAGCATAATCAGCTTCTTTCTGTATCCAGCACACAGCGGCCATTTCTAGATTACTCACTTTGTGCCGTGCACTGTGTTACAGAAAATAAAGGTCAACACAGCCACGTCCTTGGTCTCAAATGACTTGTGGCATAGAGATAGATACTGTGCCCACCCTGCTAGTACAGATGTGGGCGGAGAGTGCTGCGAAGGTAGCTGGAAGGGCTGAAGCCAAGGAGGCGGCATCCATGTGCCACGTCGGTCGTACACGAGGCTCTCTGGGCCACATGCTTGCTTCTCTGGTTGTCACAGAGCCCCCAGGCTGGGCTAGTCGTTCGTGTGTTTGGAATCTAGGTCTCCCTGGGCTCTGGGATGAGCACCCTTGAGAGCTGCCAGGAGATCAAAGGGGATGTGCAGTCCTAGGGCATCGGGACCTGACCCCTGGGGTGTTTGGGATAGTCCCTGTGTGCTCCTGTGTGTGTTTTCAGCAGCTTGGCTATTGGTTTTCTAGGTTGCCAAGAGGGTGATCTTATTGTCGGGCACACCAGCTATGTCCCGGCCTTCAGAGCTCTACACACAGATCGTTGCGGTCAAGCCGACCTTCTTCCCTCAGTTTCATGCCTTCGGACTTCGCTACTGTGATGCCAAGAAGGTAGTTATTCTCTCCCCTTCCCTGATCCCCTCCTCCCCCCAATCTTGCTCCCTGTTTCTCAGCCCTGATATTACCAGAGACACCCTGGCCGGAGAGCTGACCAAGATTTTCCCTCTGCTTGGCCCCTAACTGACCTTGGTGTGCGCTTAACGATGAGAAAAAACAGTGCCTCCTTGTTCTGCCACTTGGGCACTTGGGGTCCAGGTTGGTGTTTCCACTGAGGGATCTGCAGGTGCATGGAGCTCCTGAGGGCCAGCACCTGTTCCAAGGGGAGGATGCTAGGTGAGTCCAAGGCCCTTGGCAGAGGGAAGAAAGTAGATGAGGCAGATGAAGGTTGCGTAGTGTGGGGGCGACATGCAGAAGAGGATCCTTAAAGTAAGTGATAAGAATACTGTGTGAGGGCCCTCCCTGCTGGCGCGGCGGATTAAAGCACAGCACCAAGAGGCTAAAGCCACTTCCGCATGAGTTCAAGCCCCACCCCAGAGGTGAACCACATGGCG